GGCACTTATGAAGTCCATTGAGATTGACTCCCACGATCGCTCGGGGATTGAGAGTGGTTCAAGTAACCCTGCCGGCTGCTTATTCTCCACCTTGTCTTGTTGGCACACAAGACAAGTCTTCCCGTACGCATCGACAATGTCCCCATATGAGGCCAAAAGTAGGCCATCTCGAGCAACGCCATTGTCGACCTTTGGCCCAGATGTCCCGCCCACTTGGTGTCGTGGCATTCTTTTATGAGGTCCTTCCTCAAGCTGCCCCACTTCGGAACGAAGAGTCGCTGTCCTTTCATGTAGAGTAGGCCGTCATCTACCCAAAATTGCCTCGTCTTTCCCTCCTTGACGAGTCAGATTAGCTCATTGGCCATTGGATCATGTTCGAGCCCTTCTCGGATCATGTCGGCCAAGTTTCCCCTGGTTGAACTAATAGCTGCGAGTTCGGCCTTCCTACTCAAGGCGTCGGCCACAACGTTTGCCTTCCTCGGTTTGTACTCCAAAACGTAGTCGAACTCCGCTAAAAAGTCCTGCCACCGTGCTTGTTTTGGCGAGAGCTTCTTCTGCGTCTGGAAGTAACTCGTAGCAACATTGTCTGTCTTGACCACGAACGGTGCTTCTAATAAATAATGCCGCCACACTCGAAGGCAATGGATGATGGCGGTCATCTCCTTCTCTTGAACCGTGTAGCGCCATTCCATCTCGTTGAGCTTTCGGTTCTCAAAGGCGATCGAATGTCCGTCTTGCATCAAGACCAAATATGGATCATCTACACCGTAATGAATGTGCCTGAGTTCGGAGAAACCAAGATTGAAAACTTGCAGCGAAAAAATAACTTCCATGTAACACCAGTTGTAAACAATGATTTGATGTAATAACTAAGTGATTGAACTTCTAAGGGATAAATTGGTGCAAGTAAAGCAACCAAAAAAAAAATCAGATCTTGTTCAGGTATGCCCCAAAATATAGAAATTAAAAACAAAAACGAAACCGATGTTTCGACACAAGATTAGACTATAATCTCTTCAAATTTCACACAGAAGTAAAAAAAAAATATATTAAATAATTAAATGGGTCCGTTGAATATGAAAACCTGATATTCTAATTTCTAGTGTTTGATGGTAGTTGGAACCGTAATACACCGTAAATCTACACATAATCGCGCACACATACATGTGGATGTGTGTAATGTCGGTAGTTGACGATATACGTGTGTGTATAGTGACACTGAAGTTCACCGAACAAACCCCGAATATGAATATGCTGAATTCATTCTTACATTTACGCTCGTTCGATATTATTATTTCTTCCGAATTTTAAGATTATATGTTTGTAATGGCAGGTCATTCTCGATAATTACTCGACGCAGTTATGGTTGCCTTTGGGAAGCGACTGAAACAATTACAAATTCAAGAGTACCACGGGTATATATATGTATATTGCATTTCGATATTGAGGATCTTGTATTAGTTCGATATTATATGTGGTTTGAAGTGTAATGTATTTATTTACATGAAGAAAAAAGTCAAACAGTACGCATAGCAAATCGAAGTCTCTGCACAAAACCGCGACAAAGTCCTCAAGGATTTCTCGAGGGTTCTTGATAAGCAGGTTCGTGATTTAAATACTGCAATAAAATCGTATCACTAAAAAAAATTCGAAAAAGAAAAATAAGCAGCAGATTGTTTTCCCTTTTTCATGATAAGCAGATTGAAAGAACAGTCCTGTTTTTACTCGAACAACAAGGACAGCTGGCGGGCCGGTAATCCAACCTCGGAGAACAATGCGATTCCCTCATTCAGCAAAACAATGCCACGTGTGCAGCTGATTTGGAGGAAGCTTATAGAGATGTAGGAAGGGATCTTTTAAAACTTGCCCGACCAATCGGACGATGATGACATGGACGATAGATACAACTTCATGTCTCTACTTCTGAACCTGATCAGTACGTATTTATACATGGTGAATACTTGTATTATAGTCCCGACAGCAGATAGCTACTCACTGAGCCTCGGAGCTGCACCGACTCTATGTGGGGTCGTTATCGGATTGATGGCTGTTGCTCAAATTTTCTCCTCGGTTTATTTTAGTGCGTGGTCGAATAAATCGTACATGAAACCCCTTGTATTCAGCACTGTTGTTCTTATTATCGGGAACATGTTATATGCTCTTGCTTTCGATCTCAACTCGATATATGTACTTCTGATTGGTCGTCTGTTTTGCTGGTAAGAAACTCGTATATAAAACTAAAAGCAAATTTTAATTTCGTAAATGGATCAAGAAATCATTATTTTTAATTGGTATTTTCAGATTCGGATCTGCCAGGGCTGTTAATCGAAGATACATAACTGATTGCGTACCACAAAAGATGCGCATGCAGGCTTCGGCTGCTTTTGTTAGTGCTAGTGCACTTGGAATGGCGTGTGGGCCCGCTTTTGCGTGTTTATTCCAAACGAATTTTAAGATGTATAGAATTACATTTAATGAAAATACTTTACCTGGATGGGCTATGGCTTTACTGTGGCTCGTTTTTCTAGCGTTGTTATTGGTTTTCTTTAGAGAGCCTTCTCACCAAGAGAAACCGAATTCTACTCGACAAATTAACAAAAACAGTATGTGAATTTCGGTAACTCAATATTCGGTCATTTCTTTTCCGATATCTTTTTGGTGAATTCTTGATCTCGTTTTGCAAATTAGGTCCGGAAATTTGTATTTTAGTGCATGGACGATATTTCTACACCGTTGATTTCAAGCTCGGTAGAGGAGGAAAGAGACGAAGACGAAGATCAAGAATTGGACATTAGCGACGAAGCTTCAGACGAAAGCCATAAACCGGCTACATCAATTGTATATGCGTACAAGTTGCTTACACCGTCCGTAAAGGTAAATAATTCCGCGTTCGTCTCTTTTATCGTATATAATTTAATATCTAAACTATAATATATACTCTAATATGAACAGGTGCAGTTATTTATATACTTCATGCTAAAGTATGCAATGGAGGTTTTACTTGCTGAATCGAGTCTTATTACGACTTACTACTTCACGTGGACTTCGAGCAATGTGGCTATTTTTCTTGCATGTTTAGGACTCACAGTACTTCCGGCAAATGTTATAGTCGGAAGCTACCTCAGCAACATGTTTGAGGAAAGGTAAAATATTATGCTTTTGGGGGGGGGGGGGGGGGGGGAAAAAGGGGGGGGCCCCCGCCCCCCC